AAACGTAGATCAACGTTTTATTTTTCCTGCCTCCAAAATTAGCACGATTAGCCTGAGATGCCTGGTCAGTATAGAATGGGTCTTAACACTCGGTGCGAGCAGTATTAAAAAAAAATCTGGGGCCACTTAGTACCTAGTGGGAGCACAATTTCAACTGAGCTCCAGCTAGAGCAGTGTGGCCAACACCAGGGATTCCTGATGTCATGTCGTAGTAACACTCCCCTTTTAAGAGGAAACTAATGTTGACCCTTAGTTTAGTGGCTTTGAGATGGATGTAGTTACAAGTGGTTGAGGAAATATCTAAAACCTCGATAATAACTCACGTGCAACATTTGTGCACCATCCTCTTAATTTTGATACTACTGGTAGTGCCATCCTTCCAGAAAGTCCTATAACCTATGTCCTAAGTAAAGAGAAACAATTCTGGAACATGTATAATACGTATTCGGCTGGCTGGCTGGCTGGCTGGCTGGCTGGCTGGCTGGCTGGCTGGCTGGCTGGCTGGCTGGCTGGCTGGCTGACTGACTTTGGCTGGCTGGCTGGCGGACTTTGGCTGTCTCTCCGTCTGTTGATAAATTATTCACATGTGCAACACTTGGGTATCTTTACTGAGGAAACGTTTCGCCACACAGTGGCTTCGTCAGTCCATACAAAGGAGAATGGTGAAGAACAGGAGAAGTTTGAGGTAATCAGTCCCTCAGCCTTGAGTCGATGTGGTCAGTCCATCAATCTTGAAAAGAATACAACATATGTGCGTAGAAGTAGCTTATATACCGTAGGCAGGAAAGGTGCAGCAGTCGTAGGTGGTATCACATTTGTCCAGTATGGAAGTAGGTCGTGCCTAAAGGTTAGGCAAGTAAAGAATTCCTTAATAAAGATACCGAAGTGTTGCAAATGCGTCTAATTTATCAACCTGTCGGTTCTCTGAACCATTCATCTACATTCTTCGTCTGTATCTATCTCGGTCTCTCTTTCTCTATCTTTGTTTGCCTCTGTCTCTGTCTGTTTCTGTCTCTATCTCTGTCTCTATCTCTCTGTCAGCCTCACAGGTACCCATAAATAGAGTTATTATACAAAGTGTAAATTACCTACGATAAGCTAAAAAAATTCAGCCGAAGAGCAATACTGTGCTTGTAGATATAAAGCATAATTATCATGACTGGCAAGTAATACGCATTTTCACTTGTTCAGGAATCAGACTTGACGACTCTGCATCGTGTGTAATACCTGTTGGTTCATGAGCGGCTCTCTGAGACAGAGACGAGCAGAGAGAGACATCAGAGAGAGAGACAAATAGGCAAACAGAGCTAAACAGACATATAAACAGACATGTTTATGTGTCACAGGAAAAACAAATAAAGTCACGGTTCCTTATAGTTGTTGAGCGTGTGATCTTCCCTGTGATCAGCTACACCACCTAACTGTCTGGCTTAGCTAAAGGGGATGTAGGTATCGGCCAGGAGTCACACCAGCTGTCTACTGTTCTTACAGAGATATAATGTGATCCCACCAGGGTAGCTGGCAGGCGTATCCAGCTTGCTGGGTAATAATGGTCTATGTTTTCACTCCGACTGGGCATTTGACACTCACAATGACTATTATACGTTTCTGGAGATTAGATAATATATATGCAGTTGTTACTAATAAGATATCAACTTGCTCAACTTTTAGTTACTAATAGACATTTTAGTTTACCTGTTAACTATAGTTGAACTTTAGTAGATTAGCGATGGCTCGTGACTCAGTTAGTAGCACCTTTGGTCCACAATTGAAGAATTCGGGTTCGATGCGAGGACGAGTGGAAAAGTTGATCATCTTTCCTTCCACCTGTTGCCTTTGTTAGATTAACAGTAAATACATGATTGTTAGCCGACTGTGTGAAGTATCCCAGGTAGCGTGTTAGTATATCATACTTTGGCTGAGGTGGGGTAACAGCTCTTAGCTTGTAATTTAAGCAGCTTTTTTTTTTAAACATCTACCGGATTCCCACAACAATAAATAAAGATTTTTGTGCAAACCTTCCCCATACCAGCCAGTGAGCAGCAACGCCACCCCTCAGATCCAATATCGATCGACCGGTCTCCCATGACAACACCGACCCACAAAAGCCTCAAAAAAAAGAACCTCTGCCTTTTCTTGACGCCGAAAGACAGCTTTTATGTACTCTAAGAGCGTTTTCTTGAGCCCCACGTACTGAGACTAGCCCCCGAGGTATTTTCTGTGAGTCTCTCTGATACCAGACCAGAATCTGACTTGAATATTGAAAGTATCTTGTACAAGGGACTTGCCTGGCTACGTTTTCACAGGCTCTAACACCTTGAATTTCACCAATATTTATTCAGTTCCACGTAACTAAATTTATTCGTTTGCCAAATAAAATCGACGCCTTTGACTGGAAAGAAAAATAAACAGAGAGAGAGAGAGAGAGAGAGAAAGAGAAGTAGGAATACAATGAAGACAGATACTTTGAATGAGGAATTGCGATAAAAATATTTTTTTCTCCTGCCTCGTGAAAGTTACGTGTCGAGATAGTTCGTGTGGCCGAGACTGGCGTCAAGACGCACTACTAACATGCACCACCGTGAACTGATAATATTGGAAAGCATTACAGACTTCAGATAAATAGAGAGTTACCAAAAACAATTGAGTTTCGATCCTACATGCATATTTTTATTAACCCGAAAATGCCGAACGTTTTCAAAAAAATCTCCGAAACTAATTTAATATTTCCTAGTTAGAAAAGTCAGACAAATTATTTCCATACAAAACTGCTACCAGTTTTCAAAAAATGTATCTGTGTGAAATTAATGTTATTAAAGCATTGATCAAAACATCTAAATAAGTCTCTTTTTTTTAAATGGCAACAAGCCCATTGAGAGAACTGCGTATTAACTGGTAATGATCGAGATTAATTATATTTGAATAACTGCGGAGGCTGCAGCTGAGAATACGTAGAAATTCACACTAATTGAATCTGACTGTGAATACAGTGTGGTGGTAGTGATTCACTGTATCTCACAAATACAGTGTGGTGGTAATGATTCACTGTATCTCACAAATGCAGTGTGGTGGTAGTGATTCACTGTATCTCACAAATACAGTGTGGTGGTAGTGATTCACTGTACTTTACAATACAGTGTGATGGTAATGAGTCACTGTACCTTACAATACAGTGTGATGGTAGTGAGTCACCGTACCTCATATTTAATGTCGTAGACTCGGGCTCTGGTATAACGTATGCTAAGCCCTATTTCAGGTTATGTTTCGTATGATTTTGGATAAGGACTGATACACTATATCTTGAGCGCCTGTGGGACTATCAGGCTGTGCTTCTAGTTGGAAAAATGAGACATCTGCCAATATTATCGTCTTCTCTGTGTGTGGAAAATATTTTATTGGGCCCATTGTCTGCAATTCCGTGTAAGTGTACAGGGGAAATGCAGTGTGGAGAAGATTTCATGAATGATAGCAATTCCTCTTCGAGAAATTCAAAGCTGCAGTTTCTGTGGGCTCTCATTGAATCCAATTAGTACTCGTAGTTGGAGCAGCGAGGTGCCGCTCGTTCTTGGAGCGACGAGGAGCCTGCTAGTTCTTGAAGTAGCGAGGGGCTCGCTTGTTCTTGTAGCAGGGAGGGCCTCTCGTTCTTGTAGCAGGGAGGGGCCTCTCGTTCTTGAAGCAGGGAGGGGCCTCTCGTTCTTGAAGCAGGGAGGGGCCTCTCGTTCTTGTAGCAGGAGGGCCTCTTTCTTGTAGCAGGTAGGGCCTCTCGTACTTGTAGCAGGGAGGGGCCTCTCGTTCTTGTAGCCAGGAGGGGCCTCTCGTTCTTGAAGCAGGGAGGGGCCTCTCGTTCTTGAGCAGGGAGGGGCCTCTCGTTCTTGAAGCAGGGAGGGGCCTCTCGTTCTTGTAGCAGGTAGGGGCCTCTCGTACTTGTAGCAGGGAGGGGCCTCTCGTTCTTGTAGCAGGGAGGGGCCTCTCGTTCTTGAAGCAGGGAGGGGCCTCTCGTTCTTGTAGCAGGGAGGGGCCTCTCGTTCTTGTAGCAGGGAGGGGCCTCTTGTTCTTGTAGCAGGGAGGGGCCTCTCGTTCTTGAAGCAGGGAGGGGCGTCTCGTTCTTGTAGCAGGGAGGGGCCTCTCGTTCTTGTAGCAGGTAGGGGCCTCTCGTACTTGTAGCAGGGAGGGGCCTCTCGTTCTTGTAGCAGGGAGGGGCCTCTCGTTCTTGAAGCAGGGAGGGGCCTCTCGTTCTTGTAGCAGGAGGGGCCTCTCGTTCTTGTAGCAGGGAGGGCCTCTCGTTCTTGTAGCAGGGAGAGGCCTCTCGTTTTTGGTGAAAAATTCGTTCATCCTTTGAGCAGTGAGGTGTCCCTTATCTCTGAAGCAGGAATGTGTCGCACCGTACCTACACTGCAGGCTACCCACAACTTGGCATGGATATAAATACCGAGAGGTATATATCTCAGAGTATATACGCTGAGAATTTACCGTAATCTCTATTTTAGGACATTAATGACCATCGCGTAATCGAGAGGCTTGAAACTTAATAAACCAATCAATCAGTTTCGATTCTTTATAAACGTGAAAAAACATCACTTTGAGCACACCGAAGGTTTTTCCCTCTTTTTGTTTCATAGGTTAGGTAAAGCATAGCAATTCCAAGGAAACGTTGAAACCCCTGAGAGGTGTGTGTGTTTTTATGTACGAGCAGCAAGAGTAACATGAAGTAGACGCTTTCAAACGGAACCTCAAAAAAAAAAAAAAAGTTTGCAGTCATTGGCGATCGTAGGTTCTACCAACTTTTCTGTACTCGACTGAAGAAGTCTACTGTGTAGGCGAAACGTTTCGAAATAGATACCTAACTGTTGCTCATGTGTCTTACCTAACGAAAATAGTTTATGCGTTTTTAAACACATGTACTATAAACATTGATTGTTATTTAAATGTTTCTAATGTTCTCCCTTTTACTTCCTCTGCTCTCTCTTCCTCTCCCTCTCCTCCTCCTCTTCCTCATGTAGGTAAGTTTTGCGCTGTTTCTGAACATCGCCAGAGAGCTGCTATTAAAGCTCAGGTCATCTACAACACCTGAGAGCCGCAAGTACAGATACAGGTACGATGACTCAGATAACCTTGTTTATTGTGTGTGTGTGTGTGTGTGTGTGTGTGTGTGTGTGTGTGTGTGTGTGTGTGTGTGTGTGTGTGTGTGTGTGAGTGTATGTGTGTGTATGTGTGTGTATGTGTGTGTGTGTGTGTGTGTGTGTGTGTACTCACCTAGTTGTACTCACCTAGTTGAGGTTGCAGGGGTCGAGTCCAAGCTCCTGGCCCCGCCTCTTCACTGGTCGCTATTAGGTCACTCTCCCTGAACCATGAGCTTTATCGTACCTCTGCTTAAAGCTATGTATGGATCCTGCCTCCACTACATCGCTTCCCAAACTATTCCACTTCCTGACTACTCTGTGGCTGAAGAAATACTTCCTAAAATCCCTTTGATTCATCTGTGTCTTCAGCTTCCAACTGTGTCCCCGTGTTCCTGTGTCCAGTCTCTGGAACATCCTGTCTTTGTCCACCTTGTCAATTCCTCCCCAATTTTGTAAGCGTTACATGCCCCCTATCTCTCCGCCCTCCAGTGTCGTCAGGTGTTTTCCCTTAACCCTCCCTCATAGGACATACCTCTTAACTCTGGGACTAGTCTTTTTGCAAACCTTTGCACTTTCTCTAGGTTTCTTTACATGCTTGGCTAGGTGTGGGTTCCAAACTGGTCCGCAACTCCAAAAATGGGCCTAACGTACACGGTGTACAGGGTCCGAACGATTCCTTATTAAGATGTCGGAATGCTTTCGAGTTTGCCAGGCGCCCATATGCTGCAGCAGTTATTGGGTTGATGTGCGCTTCAGGAGATTGCCTGGTGTTATACTCACCCCAAGATCTTTTCCTTGAGGATGTTTTTTAGTCTCTCCCCCCCCTAGACTGTACTCCGTCTGCGGTCTTCTTTGTCCTCCCCAATCCTCATGACTTTGCACTTGGTGGGATTGAACTCCGGGAGCCAATTCTGGACCCAGGTCTGCAGCCTGTCCAATCCCTTTGTATTTCTGCCTGGTCTTCGATCGAATGAACTCTCCATCAACTTCACGTCACTGCAAACGGGACCACCTCGGAGTTTATTCCTTCCGTCATGTCGTTCACAAATACCAAAACAGCACTGGTCCTAGACTGACCCCTGGGGGACCCCTGGTCACAGGTCCCCATCGACACCTCGCCACGACCTTTAAATCGCTGCTGTGTATTGTGTGTGTGTGTGGTGGGGTGTGTGTGTGTGTGGTGGTGTGTGTGTGTGTGTAATGTTTTGGGCATGTGGTGTGTGTGGTGTGTGGGTGTGGGTGTGTGTGTGTGGTGGTGTGTGTGTGGTGTGGTGTGTGCAGTCACTTAATTGTATATCCTAATGTTGTTAGGGGTCGGACTGGCTCCCCGCCTGCCCCCCTCTTTATTTTCCTTCTCCCTGCTCCTCCCTTCCGTAAAATAAGATCTCGCCCATACTATTGATGGTTTTTCCCCCTACACTTATGCTGAGAAAATTTCCTAAAAACTTTGCCCAATTTCCAACCCCCCTTACTTTCGTGTCCTCCAACTCCTTTTTCCCCTTTTCTTTCCCCTGGATTCATTCTTTCCCTTTAACCCCCCGTTTTTTGTCGTTACAGTTCCCTTAACCCCTTTTTTGCATTCTTAGCCGAGTACCCCTTTAAACTTTCCTTTTAAACACTTCTCTAATTTTCTTATCCAAACCTTTTCCAAATTTGTTGGTGTTGGGTGTGGGTTGGGTGTGTGTGTGTGTGTGGTGTGGGTGTGTGGTGTGGGGGTTTTGTGTGGTGGTGTGTGTGTGTGGTTTGTGGTTGGGGGTGGGTTTGTGGGTTTGGGTTTGACTCCCCTGGGTTCTCCCGTCCTGCCTTTCCCGCTTAAACCGGTTGGTCCTGCCCCCTCTTTTTTCCCCGGCTCCATAGCTGACAAACCTGTTTTAAAATTTTTTCCCCCTACTCATTTTTTCAATTCCATTTGCCTCTTTTGCAGAAATTCCTCTTTGCCAGGTTTTAATTCCAATTTTTTTGTTTCGCCCCCCGAACATCCTCGGTCCCTGCATTCCACCAAATTTTATCTTTTCAAGGCACCCCTCCCCCCTGCCTCCTTGTCGAAAACCGATTTCCTATCTCTTGAGGCTTTATTAAGTCGGGAACCAAACCTGTGAAAACCCCGGGGGTTTTTGCTCAGTTGTTGCGGCTTTATCAATTCCTTTTAAAAGTGCTGTTCTCAGGTTTGGGCCGCCAAAAATTGTCAGGTTTTCGATTTTTCGGTTCGGAACTGTCTCGGGTTTCCACCCCAATCCCAATTTATTTGATTTGGTCCTTTGCCAACTCTGTTTTTCCCCGATCTTCCCTTTTTTGTTTGCATTTGGCGGTAAATTGAGAACCTTGCTACCGGCTCCTCTGTCTTTTGCCTGCCGTCCCATCTTGATTTCCATTTTCAATAAATCGAAACACCCTGGCCAATTCCATCTGCCCGTGTCCCTTAAAACCCCTGGTCCTCCAACCCCTTTTAATTCCACTTCCATGAAAAACGGAACACTCATTCCCCTTCCAATGTCGTCCTTCCAAAAAGTAGTTCCTGGACCACCCGTGCCCCCGTAAGTCCCCCTTGTCTCTTCTCCCCATTCTCGTGTGGCCCCTTGTCAGGTTCTCGACCATTGCAACCCCCCTTTTTGCCTTACTGTTATTTTTCAAAAAACCCCGTATGGGACTGTGCAAGGCCTTCTTGCATCCGGTGGATACCACCCTTTTCTCGGTCCCTTTTTCAAACCCAGAGTTTCCGGATTCCTTCCCATAATCTGCTTTCATAATACGGCCCTTTTAGTTCCTCCCCTTCCCCCTTCCATTTAGGGACATAAATTTGGTTGCCATCCAAAAATTTCCCTTTTTCCGGCAGGAAAGGGAAGTGGCCGTCCATGCCTTTTAAAAGATTCCCGAGTTTTTCCTCCCCTTTTCCCCTTTAATTTCCCCACCCCTGTTTGTATTCTGGTTTTCCCACTTGGTTTTTCCCCCGGGGTTCCCCCTGGTCTCTCGTAACTTCCTAATCTTCTTTTCTCCGAAATCTCTATCGTTTTTGAGTTCCTCACCTTCTTTCCCTCGTTTCACCTGTCCTTCTTGCTTTCCGGTCTTACAGTTTCTCAATTTGCTTCGAGCTTGGGGGGTTTCATTGTTTGGGGCCCTCCCGTTTTCTTCTTCGCTGCCTCTTCTCTATCTCTTGTTTCTGGGTCTTATACCCTTTTCCTTCCATCTCCGTCCTTTTTTTTTTGCCCCTTAATTTTGGGTCCCACCCTTGGGGTTTCCAAATTCTGTTTCCTTGGCCCTTTTTTCCTTTTCCTTTTGGGCCCCTTTCCACTCCTGCTTTTGATTTTCCTACCTTTCTCTTCCCATTTTCCTCCCGGAATTTCCTCAGGCCTTGTGTTCCCTTTTTATGGTTTCCTTTTCCTTTCCTTCTTCTCCACTTGTAACTCTACTATATAACAAAACTCAGAACCACGTGATCGCTAGCTCCAAGGGCCTCTCGTAAGGATGTCCTCAATGTCTGAACTGCTCAGGGTGAACAGCCAGTCGCTGGCTCTCTCCCCCCTCTCTGGTTGTCCCATGTTGGGCATGAGGTTTTTCAAGACCACATCCATTCTTGTCTCCATTTTGGGACCCCTGTGGCTCCAGGTTTTCCCGCCCGATCCCATGTGGTTGAAATCGCCCTTTACCAGTAACTTTGCTCTGCTCGAGTGAGCTCTTCTTCCACCTCAGCCAGTGGTGTCCACCATCACCCTGTTGTTTTTTCATACTCCTCTCTTGGCCTCCTGCAGTTCGGTGGTGGGTTATGCATCACTCCATGACTACTTTATGTTCTCCGGCTGAATTGTACCTACAATGTAGTCTCTTTCTCCAATCATGGGCCATGCCTTCCATTTCCTCAAATCCCCATCGGGTTTTATGAGCAGTGCAACCCCCCTCCCCCTTACTCCTTCTATTTTTCCTCAGGATCTGATATCCCATTGGGAAATTGTGGGCTGTTATTTTCTCAGCAAGTTTTGTTTCGGTGACTGCTATGATGTTGGGGATTTTTCACTGATTCTTTCATTCCACTCCTCATGTTTATTTGTTATTCCCTCCGCGTTTGTGTACCAAACTTTCAGTTTCTTTTCTATCTTGTGGTCATGCAAGAATATTTGGGGGTTTGGGGGGGCGGAGCCTTGGTGGGGGGCCCATATGGGGGTGTGGTGTAGGTGGGGTTTGTGATGATGGGGGTGGGGTCAGAATGCCCATAAGGCATATGGGGGTTGGTGGCAGAGGGAACAGTGAGTGGGTTGTAGTATAGGTTGCTCAGTTGCGTTGGGAATGTCCCGGTTGGAGTCTTTTCATGGGGGATTCTGTGGGGGGGTGTTTGCCCTTCCTCCGTGTCTGGGTCCTGCTCATCTTCATCATTGCCTCTCGTTCCCCTTTGCGTCTCTATCCCTCTCTTTCAGTGTAGTCCTTTCTTCTTGTGTTCTTCGCAGTCGAGGTAAAACTCTCCGATACCCCTGTTTGTCCTCAGTCTTGCTTTCTCTTGCAGAATCCTGGGGTTTGAACTATTCTTCCTTGAAAATTACTTTGACAGGCCGTATCCTTCCACTCGCAAACCACCCAAATTCTCTGAAATTTGTCACCTGGGTCATATGCCCTCACCTATTGTTTTCATGATGCCTTCAATCATTTTTTCTCCTCCTGTTTTATTTCTTTGAAGTTGTCCCCGTGGCTTCTTGGAGCCCATACACAAAAACTGACCTCGCCCTTCCTCCTCCCACTGAGTCTCCATCTGCTTCCTCTGAGGCATTTTATTTCCTTTCCCTTGACATGTTTTTGCTTTCAGTCCCTGTCATATCTGAAAGTTCTATCCAGTGAACTGTCTTTCATGACCAGCTGTCCCTTGCTACTGCAGTTGGCTGTTAGAATCTCTGCATATCGCATACCTTCATTGTCTTCGGACCTGTCATTTGATCTTAAATGTGCTCCTCGTCTTTCCCCGGCCCCACGTGGGTCTGATAGGGCCTTCGCATACGGCATGTCTCCTTTATTTCTTACCGTCCCCTGTCTGCGCCTGACATTTAAAATTTTCCCGATGTCACATCTGAATTGTCATTTGGGCTCTCTAATCTGTTTCAGGCTTTGCAATTTCTCTTCTAAGCACTGTATCCTAGCTTCTGCTGCTAAGACTTGTACTTCCATTCCTGCACTCCTTTAGCTATCCGCTCCTCCATTTTCTTACCAAGCTCTACTATCTTCCTTCCCCACTTCTTCCCCCCTTTTTTGGGCTCTAACTCCCAGTCTTTCCTCCCTGGTTCGTCCACCAGATCTCTGGTTTTCCGTCCTCTAGGACCACCCTTTTTTTTACCACAGACAGAAGGCTAGAGGAGGGAGAGGGTGAGAGGGGGAGACCCGAAAGGGGTAGAAAGAGGGAGAGAGAGGAGAGAGTATGAGGTGAGGGATAAGACCAAGGGGGGAGAGAGAGAAATGTGAGGGGGAGAGAAAGGGTAGAGAGAGGGAGAAAGAGAGGGAGAAAAAAGGGGGAGGAGAGAGAGAGAGGAAGAAAGGAGGGTGAGGGAAAAGGCTAGAGAGAGAGAAATGCGGGGAGGGGTAGAAATATAGAAAAAGGGAGATGGAGAGAGAAGCCTATAGAGAGAGAGGAGGGTGAGGGATAGGGTTATGGGAGTGGAGTGGGGGAGAGAGGAGAGAAAAGAGAGAGAGAGAGAGGAGGAGAGGGAGGGGGGAAATGGAGGGAAAAAGGCTATGAGAAATAGGAGGGAGGAGGGAGTGAAGGCAAGAGCCGGGGAGGGGAAAGGTCTGTGGGGGAGGGAAAGGTGTGTGGGGGGTGAGGGGAAAGCGGTCAAATTCCAAGGATCAGCTGTGTGAATGAGTGGGGGTGTGTGTACTCATCTAGTTGTGTTTCAGGGGTCGTTTCTTGGCCCCGAGTGTGTATGTGTGTGCGCGCGTTGTGGTGTGAGCACGTCAGTTGGGTTTTATGTCCCAGAATACATTTCACCTTGTTATCCGTAATACTTAATAAGATACCATTAACACGAGAGTAATTCTAATAATTTATTACTAGCGTGTGTTAACGAGTCTTTCTTTCACCCAGTTTGTACTACCTTTTACTACATGTGTACCCAATACTTGCTTCTCCGATTGTACTGTCTTTGTGTCCTAAAACATTATCTCTCGAAAACTGTTGTCAGGGGTGTAGTCCCATTTGCCCCGACTTAATCCTCCTGCCTATTTCTTGCTCCTACAAAAATTTTTTCTTCCTACTACTGCTAGGTGTTGTGTGTATGAAATCCCTCTGGAGCAGGGTTTGTGATGCAGTACCAGTGACCCTAGGGCCGGCTCTACCACCCCAAAACTTCCCGCCAACCACAAACAGGTGATTTGTACTTTACTCCTCAGAGGGGACGTCCCTCCAGATGCCTGATGTACGATGCTCGCTGTACGTGCTCGCTGTACGATGACTCGTGCACCTCGCCCTTCCCCTCTGACTTCTTAACTATTCTTTTCTCGTTGCCCTTTTGAGTCCTCATTTTCCACACTTATCACTTGTATACTGCTACTTTTATAATTTCACTTCACTTTGGTAAGTACACTTCTCATTTGGGATGACACCCAACCTGTTATGGCGGCGCTACTTCCTCAGGCCTACTGCTGCCACCCCTTCTTGCTTATATATATTATTATAAAATATATATATATATATATATATATATATATATATATATATATTTATAATTATATATATTATATTATATATATATATATTTTATATATATATATTATATATATAATAAAATATATTATATATATAGATTGTATTGTATATCCCCTTTCTGGCTAGCTTGTTCACGCTGGCTGTGTGCTACATCACAGTTTCTCGTTAGCCAACCCTCTTTAATTATTTGATCTTTTGTCTTTAGTCACTCGCTTTGTACTTTTTATATTTGTAACAGTGTGGCAACAGTGCCAACTAGGCCTCAACGAACTGGCACTTGAAATTTTGTTGTATAATTTCAGGCTTTCTCTTGCCTTTACTTTATTTTTTTTTGCTAACTTTTGGGTTTTCACTTGTAGGGTTGTTCACTGACGTTGTCACTAACACTGGTTGCTTCTAGCTGCTAAAGCACGCCCTAAAAACACTAAGATTCCGAGCCTGGGCTTGTGTGGTGTGTGTGTGTGTTTGTGTGTGTATTTTTGTGTGTGGGTGTGTGTGTGTGTGTGTGTGTGGTGTTGTTTTGGGGGGTGTGGTGTGGGGTGTTTGTGTGTTGTTTGTGTTGTGTTGTAAATGTTTACATTGTAGGTCCCAAGATTTTTTTCCAATCCTCGGAAAAATTTTCATATGCATTTCCTCCTCTTCTGGCAACTCGGTGATCCTCTGATATGTTTTTTTCTTCTTGTAATATCTTTTCCATACTGTTCAGTCATCAGTCTCCTGAAGGTTATATATCACCAGTAATCTCTCACTTTTTTCCTTTTATTTTCATTCGCTCCTGAATAACTGTCTGTTGTCACCACTTCCCTTATTTTTCTATATCTCTTTATTTTGTGTGAAAATTTCAACGAAAGTTTTTCTTTCTATTTTTTTCTTCATTCTTCCACCTGTTTTGTCATTCCTCTCATTCTTTTAGCCTCTTCCACCCTTGTCCATTTTCTCTCCCAGTTTCTGTACCAGTTCTTCACTTGCATAATCAGCTTTATCTCCCCTTCCTCCTTTTCATCCTTTATTCTCTAAAACTTTTCGGAAAGTATTTACTGTACCTTTATTTCCTATTTCTTACTCATTTTCCTGCTTGGTCTAGGCTTCCATTGAAGCTGTTCTTCTTGTGTGTGTGGTGTGTGTGTGTGTGTGTGTGTGTCTGTGTGGTGTGTGTTTTATGTGATTTTCATAATATGTATCATAATCAATACTTACAAATAATGAATGATTTGCACAGTCTCCATTGTCAGCGCCTCAACGAACAGTTACTGAAGTCACTTTTTCTCTACATTTATAGTTTCATTTCTAATACCACCCACACCACTCGTGGGTAACCTCAAACACCGTGATGGGGTTGTGTATGGGGAGGCTAACAATAGATATAAGTCACTTTTCCTGACCTTTTTTGGGAGGATATCTTAGGTAATTTACACACACATGCTACCACATATGATAATTTGTATAACTGCTAATGTGTACCTCTACGTTAATTAACTCACCGACCTCGGGGTGCAGGCGGTGGGCGAGGTCAACACTGGTGCTGGTGCCACTCTTCGGAGTTCACTACGCGGCTCTCCTGGGATTCACCTACTTCATGGGCAAGAACCACACCATGGAACTCATCTGGCTCTTCACCGACCAGTTCTTTGCCTCATTCCAGGTTAGTAGGGCGTTTTTCTCCAGTACCATTTATCACTCTCTTCTCGCCCTTCGCTGCAGATCTGAGTGATTCACGTCGGTCTAACATTTTATGTGAAGAGAATGATAATAATAATAATAATAATAATAATAATAATAATAATAATAATAATAATAATAATAACAATTGTAACTATCATTTTTTCTTAGCTTAGTATTCGTATTCTTAAATTTACATGAGAGGAGATTCATTTAATCTGAAATTATGTGTATGACATTCTCTTTCTCTCTGTATCTGTCTCTGTCTGTCTGTCTGTCTGTCTGTCTCTCTCTCTCTCTCTCTCTCTCTCTCTCTCTCTCTCTCTCTCTCTCTCTCTCTCTCTCTCTCTCTCTCTCTCTCTCTATCTATCTATCTCTCTATCTCTCTCCCTCTGTCTCTTTCTCTCTCTCTTGACTTACCATACATTTCCCTCTTCCCCAGGGCTTTTTTGTAGCAACTTTGTACTGCTTGATGAATGCCGAGGTCAGGTCTGAGCTACGTAAGGTGTGGCAACACTGGCGGATTGTCAAAGGAAGTGAGAGCATCAACATACACTCTGCGTTCTCACAGTCACGCACGTACTTCAGGTGAGTGCGTTCTCACAGTCACGCACGTACTTCAGGTGAGTGCGTTCTCACAGTCACGCACGTACTTCAGGTGAGTGCGTTCTCACAGTCACGGACGTACTTCAGGTGAGTGCGTTCTCACAGTCACGGACGTACTTCAGGTGAGTGCGTTCTCCACATGTTTTCACGGACGTACTTCAGGTGAGTGCGTTCTCACAGTCACGGACGTACTTCGGGTGAGTGCGTTCTCACAGCCACGGACGTACTTCGGGTGAGTGCGTTCTCACACCCACGGACGTACTTCAGGTGAGTGCGTTCTCACAGCCACGGACGTACTTCAGGTGAGTGCGTTCTCACAGTCACGCACGTACTTCAGGTGAGTGCGTTCTCACAGTCACGGACGTACTTCAGGTGAGTGCGTTCTCACAGTCACGGACGTACTTCGGGTGAGTGCGTTCTCACAGCCACGGACGTACTTCGGTGAGTGCGTTCTCACACCCACGACGTACTTCAGTGAGTGCGTTCTCACAGCCACGACGTACTTCAGGTGAGTGCGTTCTCACAGCCACGGACGTACTTCGGGTGAGTGCGTTCTCACAGCCACAGACGTACTTCGGGTGAGTGCGTTCTCACAGCCACAGACGTACTTCGGGTGAGTACGTTCTCACAGCCACAGACGTACTTCGGGTGAGTGCGTTCTCACAGCCACGTTCTCAGGAAAACAAACACCGCACTAGTTCCTTCAATTCTTGGCTTATTTCGAGTAAAATTAATTCTGTCTTTTAGCTGGAAGTTTACACAACACACAAGAGAAATTAAATATCTTGGAGATGAATTAACTTAACATAAATAATTGCTCATTCTCTCTCCTTTTTCTGTAATTCATATTGAGCTTCAAGTGGATGGATTTTTTTTATTATCACACTGGCCGATTCCCACCAAGGCAGGGTGGCCCGAAAAAGAAAAACTTTCACCATCATTCACTCCATCACTGTCTTGCCAGAAGGGTGCTTTACACTACAGTTTTTAAACTGCAACATTAACACCCCTCCTTCAGAGTGCAGGCACTGTACTTCCCATCTCCAGGACTCAAGTCCGGCCTGCCGGTTTCCCTGAACCCCTTCGTAAATGTTACTTTGCTCACACTCTAACAGCACGTCAAATATTAAAAACCATTTGTCTCCATTCACTCCTATCAAACAGGCTCACGCATGCCTGCTGGAAGTCCAAGCCCCTCGCACACAAAACCTCCTTTACCCCCTCTCTCCAACCTTTCCTAGGCCGACCCCTACCCCGCCTTCCTTCCACTACAGACTGATACACTCTTGAAGTCATGATTTTTATCATGTATTTAAGTGTACCGCTGTCTGGTGTTGGAACACTGGGATCACCTTAGCATGGGTGATAGATCACTTTAGCATGGGCTAATAGATCACCTAGCATGGGCTAATAGATCACCTTAACATGGGCTAATAGATCACCTTTGCATGGGCTAATAGATCACCTTAGCATGGGCTAATAGATCACCTTAGCATGGGTGATAGATCACCTTAGCATGGGCTAATAGATCACCTTAGCATGGGCTAATAGATCACCTTAGCATGGGCTAATAGATCACCTTAGCATGGGTGATAGGTCACCTTAGCATGGGCTAATAGATCACCTTAGCATGGGCTAATAGATCACCTTAGCATGGGCTAATAGGTCACCTTAGCAAGGGCTAATAATCACCTTAGCATGGGCTAATAGATCACCTTAGCATGGGTGATAGATCACCTTAGCATGGGTGATAGGTCACCTTAGCATGGGTGATAGGTCACCTTAGCATGGGTGATAGGTCACCTTAGCATGGGCTAATAGATCACCTTAGCATCAGCTAATAGATCATCTTAGCATGGGCTAATAGGTCACCTTAGCATGGGCTATGAACTTCAGGTGATAGATCACCTTAGCATGGGTGATAGATCACCTTAGTATGGGTGATAGGTCACCTTAGCATGGGTGATAAGTCACCTTAGCATGGGCTAATAGATCACCTTAGCATGGGCTAATAGATCATCTTAGCATGGGCTAATAGGTCACCTTAGCATGGGCTAATAGATCATCTTAGCATGGGTGATAGATCACCTTAGCATGGGCTAATAGATCACCTTAGCATGGGTAATAGATCACCTTAGCATGGGCTAATAGGTCACCTTAGCATGGGCTAATAGATCACCTTAGCATGGGCTAATAGTCACCTTAGCATGGGTAATAGTCATCTTAGCATGGGCTAATAGGTCACCTTAGCATGGGCTAATAGATCACCTTAGCATGGGCTAATAGATCATCTTAGCATGGGCTAATAGATCACCTTAGCATGGGTGATAGATCACCTTAGCATGAGCTAATAGGTCAACTTAATGGGGGTAATAGATCAACTTAGCATGGGGGTAATAGACCAACTTAACATGGACTATTAGATTAACTTAGCGTGGGTTAATAGATCTACACTAGTCCTTCACTGTTCTTAGTTTGTCTTTAATAGCTGCATCTAGATTCAAACATTACCACTTCTATTTTCGAAAATAATGGCTCATTAGTATTGGTAGTCTGGCGTCTGAATGAAAACATATAGCAGGACACACTTATCTCAGGACAACGTTTCGCTCTAAAGGTAGGGAAATGGTCCTCAGTAAAAGCTTGTACTGATGTTTGTGTCTCGGTTTTCATGCCTGTTAGCCAGCAGTGTAATCTTCGACTCTGTCTCTCTCTCTCTCTCTCTCTCTCTCTCTCTCTCGCCTGATCTTTTATAGTTCCACACTCGACGTGGATATCCCGGGTCTTAGCCTGTTCCTTCTATGTAGCATCCCAATCGACATATGTTTACGATTCTCATCCATTTCCTCCATTACTCGGGGGTTCTTAACAAACGAGTAACGGAGTGTGTTCTCATCCACCTCGCACACCTCTAACCTTTGGCACATTCTTACCCTCAACATCCCTAGCCACAGAAATGGGACACAGGAAGAAGGGAACACAACTGGAAGTTTAAAATTTAGATGTGTCATGGAGATGTTAGAAAGTGTTTCTTTAACGTTAGAGTTGTCAGGAAGTGGAACAATCTGGAGAGTGAAGTATTAGAGGCAGGATCCATACATAGCTTTAAGAAGAGGTATGATAAGGCTCTTGGAGCGGGGAGAGAGTGACCTAGTAGCGACTAGCGAAGAGGCGGGGCCAGGAGCTGTGAGTCGACCCTTGTAACCACATGTAGGTGAGTACATATAGGTAAGTATATATAGGTGAGTACAGTGCTGTGTGACCCATACGGGTTTAACTGTTAAAATTATTATATTAAATTATGAAATCCTCTAATGGGCTTAGGGATGGATTTCACTATTACTGGGGTGTCCGCAGAGAAGCTTGCAGTGTGGTTGACCATACGGTATTTTAAAAACGATTATGATATTTTAAAATGTTATGTATTAGTTTTTCTTAGGAATGATAATGTAATTTTACTGACTGTGAGGTTTCAGTGCATTTGTATGTTCTGTGCGATATTTAATCGCGTAGACTTATGAATAACCTTTCGAACCCAGCGCTCTGTAATTTTTCACAAATCTTTGCTTAGGTAGCACCATCTTTCTGCAGCATCGTCTTTCTGCATCATCATCTTTCTACAGTACCGTGTTTCTGGATCATCATCTTTCTGCAGCATCATTTTCCTACAGCGCCGTCTTTCAGATCTCCTTCACTGCCCTGACGGGGTCGCTACCAAGTCCTTCCATAGTCAAGAGTATTGTCATACTGTCCCGAGGCGACCAGAGGCTTGATCTCTTTGTAAGCTACACAAGGCATATAATCTTCCGAGAACTCTCCCCCAGTCAATAATTTTAAGCTTTGAGCGTTAACCTGGGAGTGGAAGGTAGGTGGTAGAGGCGTCGGGTACTAACAAGATTAATTCGACTTTGTCTCATGGTGAAGACTAGGCTCGCGTTCCACAGACTAAGCTTTACATAGGACGTGGTTTTACTCCATATGGAGGTAAAGCTGATAAATGAGACACTTGTTGGTTTTCTAAGTATCTACACAGACCGAAATGGTGGTTCCAGTAAGAGTTTGCTCGGCAAAGCGCCTGCCATTTCCTCACTCACCTCAGCAGTACGCCATGTTGATCCCGTGTCTGCTGGTGGAATATCTGCCGTGCAGCAGTATGTTTAGGTAATTAATTGGGACGAGAGGAAAATGTGATGGGTAGGGAAAGGGATAAGTGGAAAGAAGAGAATAAGATAAAATTTAGAATATTCGTAGCAAAGGACTTATTCTTCTTATTCTTTTCATTAACAGTAAACGTTAATAATGTTAATATCACTAAAAATATACAATATTTGTTAACTTTTGTCATTATAATGATTATTATTATTATTATAAGTAATAGTAGTAGTACCAGTAGTAGTCGTGGTAGTAGTAATGGTGCTATTATTATTATTATTATTTATTATTATTATATTATTATTATTATTATTATTATTATTATTATTATTATTATTATTATTATTATTATTATTATTATTACATTCTGGGAGATGAGAAATTAATAATTTTATAAAATTAAATATATAATTCATAAAGAGAGTTTTTGTTTTAATTAAGAAAATCATTTTTTTCCGAAAGCTTCTCTCACTATTGTTAATTGAAATCCACCGTATTGTTAGATCATCCTGGGGCTCCTATTGGCTGCAGAAGTTCATAAAAAATGCACGTGCTTTTCCAAACTTAACAAAATGTCTTTCAAAATTTTATATTGTGTAATATAACCTTTTGACAATAAAATGAATGCTATTTTCTGGGCTTGTTGACATTACTGGCTTAAAGCGATTCCCCAAAAAATTTTAAGTAATACGTGTATGTAACATGAGGGACAGTGATAGGTTTTTAATGATTGCCAGACAATTTAAGGGGTATTGTTCCAGCTTCAGTGAAAGTCCTATTGTTCCCCACTTAGTTCAGTTATTTGTGCAGGTAACAGCGTCAGTGTGTTTCATCTTGATATTCAAAGTTTGGAGTGGTCAACAGAAGGGAGAAATGTGATCATCCGTTAACTCTGTTGGTATCGCTTTAGTGTTAACCACCAGACCAGAGGAGTGTTGCATGCAGCTCTGTGAAATCTGTATAACCTGTCTGTGCAAAGGGAAATGTTTGAAAGATTGCACCTACAGTGAGTGTAGTAACGAGAGGAGCTCTCTCTCTCTCTCTCTCTCTCTCTCTCTCTCTCTCTCTCTCTCTCTCTCTCTCTCTCTCTCTCTCTCTCTCTCTCTCTCTCTCTCTCTCTCTCTCTCTCTCGGTCTCCCCTGTCGTTCGATCACCAACTTCTTGACTGGTCAAAAACCATTCATCGATTAGTGAACGGAGGATCAAGCCACCAAAACCACGTCGCTCAGCTTAATGACTTACACGGGTTTAGCGCTTTATGAAATACAATAATATATGAATGTATGTAATTTTTGTATGTACACACACACACACACACACCAGGAGCTCGGACTCGACCCCCGCAACCTCAACTAGGTGAGTACACACACACACAACACACTCACTCACTCACAGGAGAAAGTGGAGGAGCACCTAGAAAGGAATGAGTTTATAAACGATAACCAGCACGGTTTCAGGGAAGGGAAATCCTGTGTCACAAACCTACTGAAGTTTTACGACAAGGTGACAGAAGTAAGACATGAGAATGGGGTGGGCAGACTTCATTTTCTTGGACTGTAAGAAGACCTTCGACACAGTTCCACACTAGAGATTTGTGCGAAAGCTAGATCAGGCAAGAATAACAGGAAAGGCACTGCAATGGATCAGAGAATGCCTGACAGGAAGTAAACAGCGAATCATGGTACGTGATGAGGTATCAGAATGGGCACCTGAGACGAGAGGGGTTCCATAAGGGTCAGTCCTAAGGCCGGTACTATTTCTGGTATGCGTGAATGACATGACGGATGTGATGGATTCCGAGGTGTCCCTGTTTGTAGACGATGTAAGTTAATGCGAAAACTTAAATCGGATGTGGATCAGGTAGGACTACAAAGGGATCTGGACAGATTGCAAGCCTGGTCTAGCAACTGGCTCCTGGAGTTTAATCCCACCAAGTGCAAAGTCATGAAGATTGGGGAAGGTCAAAGAAGACCGCAGACTGAGTACACGCTAGTTGGCAAAAGACTGCAAACCTCACTCAAGGAAAAGGATCTTGGGATGCGTATAATACCGAGCACATCTCCAGGGGCGCAGATCAACCAAATAACTGCTGTAGCATATGGACGCCTGACAAACCTGAGAATAACGTTTCGTCACATAAGTAAGGAATCGTACAAAACTCTGTACACTGTGTATGTCGGCCCCATATTGGAGTATGCAGCACCAGTATGAAACCCCCACCTGGTCAAGCATGTCAATAAATCAGGGAAAGGTTAGAAAGTATTTCTTCAGTCATAGAGTTGTCAGGAAGCGCAACAATCTGGAGAGTCATGTAGTGGAGGCAGGATCCATATATAGCTTTAAGAAGACATACGATAAAGCTCATGGAGCAGGGAGAGAGTGGACCTAGTAGCGACCGGCGAAGAGGCTGGGCCAGGAGCTGTAAATCGACCCCTGAAACCATAATTAGGTGAGTGCATACACACACACACACACACACACACACACACACACACACACACACATATAGCCAGGAGATGTGACTCGACCCCTGCAACCACAAATAGGTGAGTACAAATAGGTGAGTACATATATATATATATATATATATATATATATATATATATATATATATATATATATATATATATATATATATAAAATATATATATATATATATATATATATTCATGCTTCAGCTTCAGATCCACCCCTTCCTCCACTTTTACTCTCACAGTATCATTATCTGCCTCTTTCCCCTCACCAATATTCTCTCGTTTCTTCCCAGCAGAGGGACGGCGACTCAAGGTGCAGCTCCTACTACAAGTCGCAGGAAACTGGAAGTGTTGTCGGGTCGAGGCGACCAGTGCAGTCTGGTGAGAGCGGTGAGGGCGAACGGGACCACCACAAGGGAGAACTCCTTCTCACTCCACGACAAGTCTGTCTTCGAAGACACTGATAATCAGGTAGTTTAACGTTGTAGTTATTGAGGGACGAGGGAGTCATGCTGGCCTTAGAAAGTGAGAGGCAGTCAGATGTGATTGGAGATACGGAAGGGTAGTTTGAAAGATCTTTTGATCTACAGCCCTTCGCCTGCATCAAGGGAAGGGTAACCAAGCTCTTGCTAGTTAATTTCATTTAACCCCTTCTCTTTTCCACCTCTCCTTCCTTTCCTCCTTCCCTCTCTTCTTCCCTATGTCCCTCCCTCCCTCCCTCCCTTCCACCTTCCCTCCTAATATGTTATTCCCTGCCACGTCCCGACAATCTCCAGCAAACTACACATCCGCCTCACCGGAGCTTCTGATCTAAGACATTGATTGAATGTGCCTGCCTGGCTGTCTTCCTGCCTGGCTACCTTCCTGCTTCCCTGCCTTAGTAGTGGGTGAGCAGGTGGCAGTAGTAGTAGCAGTAGTTGTAACCTCGGTGCACGGTCATTTCAAGTGATGGTGAAGCTGGGGAAATGTGTCTAATGATCACCCTTTCTGCTAAGCGGTACATGTGAAGGACGTTAGCACACGTTGCTTGGACGCCATCCTCCGTTCTGACAGCCTACCTAATAGACAGACTCGTACGAGAATGCAGGTTATTACAACTACCTGCTCACCCATTACTGCTACTACTGTACCACAACGACTACTACTGGTATTACTGTTACCACTATTGTTATCACTACCACAACCAGTACTACCATTATTACTATTAATACTAATACTACTTCTACTTTCAAGAATGCCCCGTCTTCTAACCTCCCTTTATATACCAAAAATCCATGCATTGCATGCATCTGCATAGTGCAGTAAACAGAAGCCACTTGAACTTAAGAAGACACATCTGGTCCTCGCCGTAAGACTGTCAAAGGTAACTCTTGTAGAACTAGTGACGCTTCTGCTGGAGTCAATGACGAGACACCACCTACAAAAGTCCCTTGTTACGACAATATTTCTGACGAATACACTAACAACAACAACTACACTGTATTGTTTGTATTGGATAAATGAAGCTGCTAGTGAGCGAAACTAATTTTGCTCGTCTTTCCATTTTCTTAATATTTTGTTTATAGTCTTACTAATCTATCTACTTGTGAACGAACAGAACTGCTATAATATTTCAAAATCTGTTTACCTGTATTCCTCTATAATTATCGCCTTTGCTCAGTAAATTATAAATAAACACCATCCTTGTACAAACACAGTCATAAAGCAATTATAATTATCAATAAGTTGTTCAGTGTTAATTTAAATGGTCTTCTCTTCTCCCAGTTGTTTTACGTCTTGTAGATTTATGTTAAAAATTCCTAGTTTAGTTTTGAATTTCTTGTGCCTTTTCTTATCCTTACGTTTTTACCTTTGTTGATATGTACATAAGGGTGATGTGAGTGTGAGTGTGTGTGTGTGTGTGTGTGTGTGTGTGTGTGTGTGTGTGTACTCATTTGCGATTGCAAGAGTCGAGTCATAGCTCCTGACCCCGCCTCTTCACTGGTCGCTACTAGGTCCTCTCTCTCTCTGCTCCTATGAGCTTTATCTAACCTCGTCTTAAAACTATGTATGGCTCCTGCCTCCACTACGTCACTAGCCAGACTATTCCACTTCCTGACAACTCTATGACTGAAGAAATACTTCCTAACATCCTTTTGACTTATCTGAGTCTTCAACTTCGAATTGTGACCTCTTGTTTCCGTGTGTGTGTGGGGAGGGTGTATGTGTATGTGTGTGTAAATATCTCTCTGCATATCCAAAACATGATCCAGTGTCCTCGTTTAACCGAGTACGGTAATTTTATCATGGCACTCCCCTACATGAGTCTGTCATGATAATCCTTAATCTCGTTAGTCTAGTTAATCTTTATTAAGTGCTTCCTTAATCCAATGCAGCTGTGTGACCGAAAATCCAGAGCATTATTCTCGTTATTGCTATTATAACCAGTTTTAATTCACTATTATTCCTCTCTCTCTCTCTCTCTCTCTCTCTCTCTCTCTCTCTCTCTCTCTCTCTCTCTCTCTCTCTCTCTCTCTCTCTCTCTCTCTCTCTCTCTCTCTCTCTCTAAGCGCTTGTTTATGAATATAAGAAAATTAATCAGTAGCGTGGATTAAAAATGTAATCCGCATCTCGCTCGACCCAGATGTTGTTCATTGAAGCCATTATGTTCAAAATTAAAACTTACGACCCAGGGAAGAATTTTTAAGTGGGTCTCCTGTAGGTGCTGACGGGGCGCTGGGACTTTCCTGTCTCCTCCTGAACCCTGACTCAGCCTCTCTGACGATGCAATAATGGTCGTTCGTGAAATCGTAAATAACTGTCTGTTGTGTACAACTGACGACTATAAAATACTGACGGTTGTACACAACTGACGGTTGTAAACAACTGAAGGTTGTAAACTGACGGCTGTAAACAACTGAAGGCTGTAAACAACTGATGGTTGTAAACAACTGAAGGCTGTAAACAACTGAAGGTTGTAAACAACTGGATGGTGTAAACAACTGGAGGCTGTAAACAACTGATGGTTGTAAACAACTGGACTGAACAACTGAAGGCTGTAAACAACTGATGGTTGTAAACACTGGAAGCTGTAAACTGGAGCTGTAAACAACTGATGGTTGTAAACAACTGGAGGCTGTAAACAACTGGAGACTGTAAACAACTGAAGGTTGTAAACAACTGGAGGCTGTAAACAACTGGAGGCTGTAAACAACTGAAGGTCGTAAACAACTGAATGTTGTAAACAACTGAAGGTTGTAAACAACTGAAGGTTGTAAACAACTGACAATTGTAAACAACTTGCAGGATTCGAAATGCTGTCCGTTCCGTGAGTTGTTAAAGATGCATGGTAATAGGACCCTATTTGCAGACGAAACCTTCATTTTCAAGGCAACATTTCGCCCACACAGGGACTTTATCAAGTCCACACACGACACATGGGACATGATAATGTGCACAAAAAATTAAGTGAGGTGAAGTAAGGCATAGTCACGCAAAGGATGACGGAATGGTGACGTTGTCAGGTTACTGGACCACCTGCGTACACTGTTTTGAAGATTTTTTAAGTATATACAAATAACTTGTACATAGGAAAGAGGAACTTACAACGACGTTTGGGTCCGACTTGGACTATTTACAAAGTCACAATAACATAAAAGAGAGAGGGAGCCAGTTATATATACATATATATATATATATATATATATATTATATATATATATATATATATATATATATATATATATATATATATATATATATATATTATATATATGTCGTGCCGAATATGTAAAACTGGTCAATTAGCAAGAACTCATTTAAAATTAAGTCCTTTCTAAAATTTACTCTTATACATTTAAAGATATATTTTTTTCACTAATGCTGATGTAAAAATTTTTAATTTTGCACCAAAAGGAACTTAGAAAACTTACCTAACCTTATTATAACAAGCGCAATTTATTTTAGCCTAACCCAACTAAATATATTTTAGATTTGTTTACAATAATTTAATACTAAACAAACACAGTGAAATATACTTTTTTTCGTTAGGTTCAGAATGGTTTTGGCGAAATTATTGCATACACAAATTTTCACTTGTCCTATATGGCAAGATGAGCGTTGCTATTTAAGCCAAGATCCCAAGTTCTGCCTATTCGGCACGACAATATATTATATATATATATATTATATAATATATATATATATATATATATATAATATAATATATATATATATATAATATATATATATATATATATATATATATATTATGATTTTAGAAATGCCTTTAATATGGCCGTTCGGGATCGGTTTCCCAGCCTTTGTCCCTTCATTTCAGCCGGCTACAGCAAACCCTCAATTCTTTTGTTTGGAGAACATGAAATTCTCTCATCAGAGGGTGTTCAGCAGGGTGACCCACTCGCTCCACTTTTCTTCTGTTTGGCAGTAAGAAAACTAACTTCCGGCGAGCTCAACATCTGGTACCTGGATGATGGCACTCTGGCAGGTACTGAAGAGTTCCTGTTAGAGGACCTAGAACTGGTGAAAAAACAGGGAGAAGACTTGGGACTCATCCTCAATCCCTCCAAGTGTGAAATCACAGCGAACCAGGAAATAATCAATGCCGTGCGAAGAATCCTCCCGGAAGTCTCTACTACCACTCCGTCCAACAGTAGCCTGTTGGAAGCACCGCTGGGTCACCAGGCCATCGACACTGTCCACAAGGAAAAATTGAATGACCTAATGAGAATGGAGGAGAGAATAAGCGATCTTGATGCCCATGATGCTCTGTATCTCCTCACAAGGTGTCTTACTATACCAAGACTCACTGCCTGAGGTATGCACCCTCTTTTGACAACCCAACACTCGACGAATATGACACACACCTGAGATCAACCTTGAAGAAGGCCCTGAACCTGTCACTAGAGGATCAGCAATGGGATCAGGCAACCCTCCCAGTGCGACTGGGAGGTATAGGGGTGCGCAAAGCTACGCATGTAACTTTTCCTGCTTTTCTGTCTTCATGTTTGGCTTCCAGTGCACTAGTCAAGAAGATTGTCCCCGAACGCCTGAGAGACGTAGTAGGAGCTCAAGACCTCAGGTTTACTGAAGCAGCGATGCGGTGGGACACCCTCGCAGACTCCTCCAGTAGACCAGCTCCTCTCAAAGAGCACAAACAGTCCCACTGGGACAAACCGATCATGGACAAAATCGCCAACACAGTGCTCAACAACGCTTCAGGAAAGGACAAAGCTCGTCTTCTGGCGGTGAAGGCACCACACTAAGGAGATTTCCTTCTAGCTGTTCCCAATTCCTCCCTGGGCACTCAACTTGACCCACAGGCCATTCGGATTGGTGTTGCTCTTCGCCTAGCCGCCCCCATCCTCACCGAACATGGGTGTATTTGCGGCAGGGCAACAACTGATCAATTCGGACTTCATGGTCTCGTGTGTCACACAACAGAAGGAAGTATGCCAGACATGAGGAGGTCAATGACATTATAAAGAGAAGCCTCGCCACAGCCCGTTGCCCATCTCAACGGGAACCCCAAGTGCAGGGGTCTGACGGAAGTCAAAAGCGTCCTGATGAAGCCACTATGCTACCCTGGAAGGATGGAAAACTGCCTGGGACTACACCTGTGCCGCCACATTGGCAGACACCTACTTGCCATACTCCATAGCTGAATGCGGTGGAGCTGCCAACCACAGGGAGACCCAGAAGATCCGCAAATATGAAGACCTTCTCCCTTGCTATAACTTCATCCCAATAGGGTCGGAGACCCTTGGAGCATGGGCAAGTGTGCTCTAAAGTTCCTCAAAGAGCTGGGTGAAAAGCTCATCATAGAAACCAAGAACCACAGGCCAACCAGCTTCCCCTTTCAGAGACTCAGTGTCGCGATCTAGAGAGGAAATGCCTGCAGCATTCTGGGCACGCGGCCCACTGCCGGGGAGCTGGACGAAGTATTCGAGATGTAGCTCCGAGTTGTTATCTACGTTGTTTTACTTTCTATAGTATTTTTGTGAATGTTTTGTCAATGTATCTCGTCTTTAAATAAAATATATATTAAATATAGGGGGTGGTAAGAGAAAAATCTCAAACAGCTACAGGGAGAACCTTGAGTTTTCCCTGAAGCAAGTTTATTCTTTTCTCTGAGGATGAGAGTCCCCAGGACAGTTCTAGAGGTGGTACCTCCCTATATATATATATATATATATATATAGGCTAGCTGGACAGGGACGGACCAAGAGAAGAAGGAAAAGAAGTAGTGTAGTGGAAAGCTCAGAAGTTGAAGTTTTGGTAGAATAGTATTGGTAATAGAAAGTAAGGAAGTAGTGTTTAGTGGACAAGAGATAGAAAGATAAGTGAAGGGATGAAGAGCAAAATATAGTTAAGCAGGGTTTTGTGATGTTATGTACACTTTGGTTCAGTTCCCTGTATTGGAAATAGATTGTTGCGGTTCTAAAGTTAGGTTTTCTGTCTTGTTTTCCTTCGATAATTTCGGCCTTTGTCGGTTAAGCAGGATGTACTGTTTTGACCTTGCAATCACTTGTTGTGATGCCAAAGGTCCCAAAATAGGTTTTTATTTCTCAAGGAACATCATGTGAAAACTCAGTGCAGCTATTGCCAATATAAAAATTTTATCACCACCGACAAAACGAAGGGAAATCTGTCGCTGCTTGCTGCAGGCAACTGGGATGATGTGGGTTTTAAGAGAAGGTCTTGTCCGACTCTAGTGTTCTATTACCACATTTGTGGGTAATCCTTCCATTCCATAACATCAAAGATGTGTACATGAGGTCAGGTGTTATACTGAGTCGCGCTTGGTACAAATGGCTTTTCTTGTGACCCAGCTTATGTCTGTCTTGTCTGTCTTTGTCTTCTAATTCAGACAACAAAGCAGTTTCAGGCGTCTTTTGTGTACTAATAACGAGAAGAGTTTGCATGATGATAACCACCGTTTGTTTCTCATGCATGTTACAAGATATGATTGAAGTGTTCACGTAGATGAAAGGCGTAAACATAAGGGATATAAATACGAAGCAGAAAATACCAAACAAAGATGGATCTCGCAACAATGGATTCGTGCTAAAAAATATACATATTTTTATTGCAGAGTATTGGTTTTATAGTTTATTTGCAGATGACTGGAATAAATTGAAAAGCAGATTTAATGGCGTAGATACTCTGGTGAGATTTAATGGAAAACGGTTTGGTGTAGGTAGGCAGTGCCAGCTGTGAATAGTTTATATTGCAGGCAGTATTTTACCTGTTCTTACTTATTGTGATGGAGGACGAGGAGTTACACGCTGGTGCTTAACAAAAAATCTTTTGAGTCGGATTTTCGATAAGCTGATTTTCATTGTCAAATAGTCATGACCGGAATATTATAGATAAACCTGACACACACACACACACACACACGCACACACACACACACACACACACACACACACACACACACACACACACACACACACACACACACACACACACACACACACACACACACACACACACACCTAGTGGCGACTAGTGAAAAGGAGGAGACAGGAGCTATGGATCGACCCCTACAACCTCAAATAGGAAAATACACACTGCAATGATAAGTCCTTGTTTTCCCCTCATTTTAATTATATTTCTTCTTTATGAACCTACAGAAGAGTAAATCTGAGAACGTGAGAGATTGTCAAATATTTTTTGTGCTGTGTACCGGCAGTTAGTGACGGTGAACCTGGCAGTGGTGGAGCTGCAGCAGAACTGGGACGCCCACGCCACGAACGCCCACACCACGCCCACCTCCCCCTGGTATGAAACCCATCTTGGCACCACCACCAGCTTGGACTCTACCTTCGTTCTCCAGCCCATGGCCCACACCACTCAGAAAGCCACAATATGCGTCGAGGATAGCACTAAGCCCTCGGCCACATCAAGCCAAGGGATTCACGAGAACCCAGGCTCAGACTCCGGACTAGAGCTGCCTCCTCCTCCTCCTTCAGGTATCCTCTACGACATGGCTGACTCCTGCGAGGGGTCCCCGCTGCTAGTCAACACTTCCCACATTGCTGAGAGCACCTTCTGAAATCGCAAATTTTTACCTTTTTAAGCAAACCAACTTACATCAGAAATGTTATGCTCGACCGGTAGACTATGTTGGTGATGGTTCTTCATGACCATCATAGTCTGGTGGTCCAGCCATTACATTACAAACTTGTACTACGCTACTCTGTATGATAGTTACATAATGGGGACATGAGCTATGAGCCTATCATATTCCACCACACAGGATGCGTTTCATACATCGGAGAACCCGGTTCATACAAAGAGAAGCTGTCTGATGTAGAGAGACTTCTCTTCCTTGCATACCATACAAACTATCATCAATCAATATACCTAATTCGGAGATGAATAAATTTTCGCTGATTTTTTTTTCAAACGGAAGGGTCGAGGTAACTGTGCAAATTAACATTTCATACAATACTAGAACCTCGTCTCGGGTGGGGTGAGGGGGTGATATTTTTATATGTATTTTGTGAGTCGGATGAGTATGAGTGTTTTGCTTTCCATGAATAAGACATATGTGCAACACCTGGGTTGTAACCCAGGCGTTGTACATGTGTCTTATTCGTCAACCTGATGGAAGTTTTTCTAGTAGCGTACTTGAAAATCCACGTAGATCAAAATTAGGAAGCCTTGTTAAAGGTAATGTTGCACATACTCAACAGGTATTTTGAAGTCAAGTCTGTAAACAAGACACAATTGCAGCTCTAAGACATTTATTATTGAAGTGTTTCACTCACTCTGATTTTTGTCAATCAATTGGACTCACAAATCTCCAAGTGAGGGGAAACGTTTTCCTAATAAATTTCCAAGTACTGTACTTGTCCTGTTTACTTATCAATTCATATTTAATGCCACCTCTGACCAAGTCAGGTCTCTGGCACAGGAAAAACTTTGCTTTAAATAACGTTTCCTAAAATTACTCTCTGTGTCTTTATATAAACAATCTGTGGGTATTTGTAAACCATTTATTGTCATATTTCCTGATGGTGCTTGAAAGTGTTTGCGCCATGAAGAGCTTTGTGAGTAGCAGCACAGGTTAGTGTGTGAGAGAGAGAGAGAGACAGACAGACAAGCTAACAGAGGCAGAGAGAGAGTTTGAAGTTGTTTACACGTGTGTGAGGAGAGTGGAGGTGGCCCTGATGCACGGACGAGCTTGATATTGACACCTTCCTTGATCTTGCTGCCTCCAGCAACTTTACCACTACCACCACCACAATCCTCACCACCCCCACCACCACCATCATCCCTACTACTCTTACCACCACTTTCCTCATCACCACCACCACGACACAACCGCTATCACCACACATCTCCACTAACCCAACCCCACCAAACACATTAATAATCTTACCTTTCATTTCCATTACCACCACATGCGTCACAACCACCGTCACCACGACAGCCTCCGCCTCCATCACAACCAGCACCGCCAATACAACTACATCTCACCATCACAATCACCATCGCTTCAGGTGTGTTTAAGTTTTAAGCTTTGTAACATAAGAGAGGAGCAATACAGTAGGTCCTCTTCTCTGGAAAAGCGACATATGAGTTATTAGGACGTTTACGGAGGAGACGTCTCGACCACCAGGGGGCTTTATCATTCAGATACAGAAAACAGGAAACACAGAGTAAATCAGATGCTGTACTGACTTTGGCCTAGTGGCTTACGCACTGGCCTGGAGTTTTACGACTCACTTGCCACGGGTTCAAACTCCACCCGTTTCGTGGGTTGTTTGAAATCGCGTTATTACGATTTTGTGAATCATGAGTAGTCTGCTTAGGTAGAATAAATTTAACCAGTATTTTCCTAGATTATGATACTGCCGGTGTTTTGAGTGAGGGTGGTGTGGTAGAGACGAGAGCAGATTCTAGTCATTATCTGATATTTAGACTCGGACTCCTTAATGTCAAGTTTGGCCTCTTGGACGATCGTGAGAGGTATGCGGGTGTTGCAGAGTATGATGCAGGCAAAGGATCATAATAACCCTTAATTTTTAAGGGATGGAGGGGTAAGCCAGCGGAAGGCCTCGGTCAGATGACCAAAAGCTCCAGTGGCGGGTCATCATATGACCAAGACCAGCGTCAGGGAACACTTATCCTGTTTCCTGACAAACCTTTACTTTAACCTGGATCATTCGTCCCATTTGGAATGCACATTTATGCACAACTATGCGTTGCTTTTCCTTCTCTTAGATGTTGCTCCCATGTATAGTTTACTACATCCCCCACATGGAATAGTGTAAATACCAGCGTTGGGGTCACTGTGTTCCTCTGTGTTATTACGTACTGTATGGTGTTGGAAGCAGTGCTTTTACCTGTTAGTTTGTGGATATTCTCTGCCCTCCTGGGAGAACCATGTATCGTTTTACGTCTTTGTGTTTAATATTGGAATATGTGTCGTGCGTATAACTTCATCCTTCTTGGAGGAAGCAGGACTCATGGTTCTATAACTCGTCAATAAAACTCCTTGAAGACTCTTAGTACTTGTGTTGTGGTGTATGGACTATGGATTGAATAACCCACACTCGTTTAGCGCTCCATATTAAAATAAATAGAAAAATATAATAATAATAATAATAATAATAATAATAATAATAATAATAATAATAATAATAATAATAATTGAAAAAATAAACATTATTTTACCATTATTTATTTCAATAAGACGTAATTTATCTTCCTTTCAAGGTTCTCATGGTGGAGCACTAAGAGACCTCATATCATAATGAAGCAAGATATGAGATCTGCATTAGAGCAAGACCTTGAGGTAAAAATAAATAAATCTTCCATCAAATCGAAGTATTCAAAAACGACTTCCCCCCAAAAAATCGTATCCCGAAGTTTTCTGGAAAATTCAATTTGAGGCAGATGGAATTCTGCGTCATTGCCTCCACTGAATACGGAATTTAAAAAAAAAATTAATAATGGCCACGTATTTACGTTCATGTGAAATGTACAAAGATCAAGAAAATCTGTGAGGGGAATCAAGGAGGAGGCGAGAGTGTGTCTCGCTCAGCAACTTTTAGTCGACGAATCTGGATACAGAAGAAATTGATGGCCAACGCTATTGTAAGTCGACACGCTGGCTAATTTGTAAGTCGACACGCTGGCTAATTTGTAAGTCGACACGCTGGCTAATTTGTAAGTCGACAAGCTGGCTAATTTGTGAGTCGACACACTGGCTAATTTGCAAGTCGACGGCTGGCTCATTAGTAAGTCGACAAGCTGGCTAATTATTAAGTCGACATACTGGCTCATTTACAAGTCGACGCGCTGGCTCATTTGTAAGTCAACGCGCTAGTTAATTTACAAATCAACACACTGGCTAGTTTGCAAGTCGAGACGCTAGCAATTTCTGAGTCGACACACTAGCTAATTTCCAAGTCGACACACTGGCTAATTTGTAAATCGAGACACTAGCAAATTATTAACGAGATTCACTCCAAAATCGACGCACTTGTATATCTACCCACTTCTAAATTCAGCCCGACTACAACGGGAGACTTTCCCACTCAGATTACAAACTTTTTTCCAGTTCTCTCTTAATGACGCTGTTTTATTCAACTGAATCCTTCTCTAATGTAAAAAAAAAAAACTGGGGGAACTAAGCTAGTTCAGACTACATTGGACGATATATAGGATTGTGTAGGATGATGTTTAAGACAGAGTGATGGTGTGTACGGCTGTGGTACAGAAGTTGGTAGGATGCAGAAATGGGGAATATAAAGCGGAAATAAATAAAAAAAAAATACTGTGTAAGGGAAATGTAATTTTGCGAAGCCGACAAATTGAGAATTGAAACAGGATGACATTTTGATGGATCAGGGGACGGTTTGGCCCACGACTGGTCGAAACGTCCGTCGTTCACTTTGTATTTCAGAGCTGACGTTCGTCCTTCAACAAATACGTTTTCGAAATACGTTTCGCTCTACGAGCCTCACATTTCTCTTATTCTCCAAGAAGATGTACCTTCATATAAAGACTGGAGCTATCCTCCCATTCCTTGTATCAAACCTGACTGTATTTCATTTCCCAAGCGCGGTATGGGCCTCTTAAAAAATGAATCGCTAAATTATTATTGGAATAAAATCATAATCAACCAAGATGTTTTTAAGCTTATGGAGATTTCAAGGAGAGAAAATCCTGGTTGTTATTTTGAGTGTGCTTGACGGGAAATTAATTTCGAATTACACACACTGTTAACTATAGTGTTGGCGCGCCTCTGGCAAGACAGTGATGAAGGGAGTGATGATGAAAGTGTTTCTTCTGTTATAGGTCATCCAAATACCCATGGATGTCAACGTATACCTTCACGTTCACATTGGCTTATACTCCATCAGGATAATATTCGCCCGTACGTTCGTAGGCGCACACACACGTCTCCCGTTCGTATGTGCCCGTAAATTTTCACGTTCACGTACGTCATTACACATACCTCATCGCGGAGATCTGCTTGGGAGACAGACCTCTGCATCTTACTTCCTACTATCATCCATAACTTAACTTTCTAAATATGTAATTATGATTATACTCAGAATGATAATTATGATTATCTTTACCACTGTCGAACTAAATTCATGCACTGAATATATATATATATATATATATATATATATATATATATATATATATATATATATATATATATATATATATATATATATATATATATATAATATGTGTGTGTTTGTGTGTAGTCTTTTTAAGTTAAAATTTTATGCATATAACCAAAACATTTATTGTTTGGTACATTCATAGGTACGGCGTACAAAATCTTAAATTATTTTAAAGAATCAGTTTGAGAGATATACAAAACAAGAATATGTATATATGTACGTATGTATCATATGTATGAGTAAGACACATACATGTGTAACACCAGAGCCTCTCCACTGGTGCTCAGGTATTGCACATGTATCTTGTTTATCAACGTGTGGATATCCAATACAGTTAATGTAACAAGTCAGAACACGTATTTCGAAATTATGTGGGGTTTTTTTCACTTTGCAAATGCTCTCTGTTATTAATTCTCCACAATATATTCAGCCTTCAGTCCAATAACTGCTGCCTATTATATGTATATCAGGTTCCCTCTTCTTTAAAATTTCACCACATACATTAAAAAATAAAATTCTCTCACCCCCTACGTGGTAAAAAAAAGGAGTGGAAGAATTTGTTATATTTTCATCCTAAATGTAACTCACTTCTGGAGGAATGGATGTAACTTTTAAGGTAATTTAAGGTGATTTATCTTCTGAAGATGTTTGCAGTCCAAGTTATTTAAGTAAATTAAATGGCAAATGGTGACATGAATTGTATTAAATTCAAGACAGTGTACATTTATATGGTGCTTCTCTACATACTGTGTTCCCACTGCCTTGTGCTCTCCCACTACTTACCTGTCTTCCCACCTGTTACTGTGCACTCCCCACTACCTGTTTCTGCTTCTACTACTGCACTGTGTGCTCTCCCCACTACCTGTCTTTCTACTGCCTATACTCTCCCCACTACCTGTCTTTCTACTGCCTATACTCTCCCCACTACCTGTCTTTCTACTGCCTATACTCTCCCCACTACTCTTCACTGTCTTTCTCCACTGCTCTCCTATACTCTCCCCACTACCTGTCTTTCTACTGCCTATACTCTCCCCACTACCTGTCTTATTCTAACTGCCTATTATACACTCCCCAACTACCTGTCTTCCCACTGCCTGTGCTCTCCCCACTAACTGTCTTCCCACTGCCTGTGTTCTACCCACTACCTGTCTTCCCACTGCCTGTGCTCTCCCAAATACCTGTCTTCCCACTGCCTGTACTCTCCCCACTGCCTATATACTCCTTACTACCTATCTTTCCACTGCCTGTGCTCTCCCCACTACTTGTCTTTCACTGCTTATACTCTCACCCACTACCTGTCTTTCTACTGCCTATACTCTCCCCCACTACCTGTCTTTCCACTGCCTATGCTCTCCCCACTACCTGTCTTTCTACTGCCTATACTCTCCCCACTACCTGTCTTTTCACTGCCTGTGCTCTCCCAACTACCTATATTCTTCATCGATGCATGTGTACTCCACTATCTGTGTCACCCTATCACCTATGTCACGTCATCCCATCACCTGTACGTCATCCCATCACCTGTGTCACCCCATCACCTGTGTCACCCCATCACTTGTGTCACCCCATCATCTGTGTCACCCCATCACATGTGTCACCCCAACTCTTGTGTCACCCCATCACTTGTGTCACCCCGTCACCTGTGTCACCCCATCAGCTGTGTCACCCCATCAATTGTGTCACCCCATTACTTGTGTCACTCCATCACCTGTATCATGCCATCACCTGTGTTACCCAATCACCTGTGTCACCCCATCATCTGTGTCACCCCATCATCTGTGTCACCCAATTACCTGTATCACCCCATCATTTGTGTCACCCCATGACCTGTGTCTCCCATCACTTGTGTCACCCCATCACCTGCGCCACCCCATCACCTGTGTCACCCCATCATCTGTATCACCCCATCACTTGTGTCACCCCATCATCTGTGTCACCCCATCACTTGTGTCACCCCATCACTTGTGTCACCCCATCATCTGTGTCACCCCATCACTTGTGTCACCCCATCATCTGTGTCACCCCATCACTTGTGTCACCCCATCATCTGTGTCACCCCATCACTTGTGTCACCCCATCATCTGTGTCACCCCATCACTTATGTCACCCCATCATCTGTGTCACCCCATCACTTGTGTCACTCCATCACTTGTGTCACCCCATCACTTGTGTCACCCCATCACTTGTGTCACCCCATCACCTGTGCCACCCCATCACCTGTGTCACCCCATCACTTGTGTCACCCATCATCTGTGTCACCCCATCACCTGTATCACCCCATCACTTGTCACCCCATCACTTGTGTCACCCCATCACCTGTGTCACCCCATCACCTGTGTCACCCAATCACCTGTGTCACCCCATCATCTGCGTCACCCCATCATTTCTGTCACCCAATCACCTTTATCACCCCATCACTTGTGTCACCCCATCACTTGTGTCACCGCATCACTGTGTCACTCACCCCCCCCCCCACACACATACCCAGTGTCCTTCCTGTCACTATATAAACACACCAAAAACTACATTTGCGTCAGTTCGTCATTTGAAAATAATATCTGTATTTTTATCAGTTATCTGTATATTTTTTGTCCCATGAAGATGGTATAATTTATCAATAAAAAATATATGGAAAATACATGTGTATTAACCACCATGTACATTTATATTCATGTCGTATATGATGAAGTTGTAACAAAGGTTTAAGTTTATATATATATATATATATATATATATATATATATATATATATATATATATATATATATATATATATATATATATATATATATATATATATATACATATGTATATATATATATATATATATATATATATATATATATATATATATATATATATATATATATATATATATATATATATATATATATATGAAGGTACCACCTCTAGAACTTTCCTGGGGACCCTCATCCTCAGAGAAGACAATAAACGTACCTCAGGGAAAAGTCAAGGTTCTCCCTGGAGCTGTCTGAATATTTTCTTCTCCTACCACCGCCCATATTTTTACTCTACATGCTAACTTCGTTAATAGACATAACACATTGATAAAAAACGCAAACATGAATATATCGGTACAATATATCAAAGCTTATTGAATCTCCTCCAGCTCTTCCGAAGCCGGACGTGAGCCCAGTATGCAGCATGCATTTTCCCTCTGGATGGCCACGCTGAGGCTCTGGAACATGAAAGTGGCTGCTCTTGGGTCCCTGGTGGTGTCAATGAGTCTGGAACCCAGTTTTTTAAGGAAACATGTGGCATTTTTCCCCCATGATCCCAAGGTCTCTGATCCCACTAGGACAAACTGATACTGTTGGCTTATGCCCCTGTACTTGCTGATCTTGTACTCTTCCCTGTGGTCAGCAGTTCCTCCCTGTCGCCCAACACAATGCTGGATATAGGTGTCAGCCAGTCTGAACACACAGGTATAGTCCCATGCTAAGAGCTTGCCATTCTTCCATGGGTAGATGGTGATCCCATCGGGGTGGTTTGCTGGGTTGTGTGTATTGTTGGGCGGGGCTCTATCTTGTATGCCAGCCCTTGGTTTTGGAACAGTCAAGACCATGTAGACCATATTGGTCGACTTAAGCATCGCCGCAAATACACGTATATTCCGTGTGAATTGGGGCAACAAGGTGCAGAGCCACTGCAATACGGAGGGTCTTAAGGTCGAGGCGTGTTCCCATTGTCGAAACGGGAACTGTATGGAGGAAGTCCCCGGAGTGATGTGCGCTCACAGCTTGGAGACAGGGAGTCTCCCTGTCTGATGTTACAGCCCTGAGCATGTTGGCAAGCACCTTTTCAGCGATGGGGCCATCCCAGCTGGACTGTTTGTAGGCCAGTGCTGCACTAGGATTTGGTGATGGAGCAGTAAGAGTCTCCCATTCAGTGATGGCACTGGCATGGAAGAATTTGTCTTATTAACTCGTTTGATGCTATGGAAGAGGATAGGAAACCTGGTAGGGCAATCTGGGAGGATCTGTGTACTCCCAGCTTGCAACCACTGTCCATCTTCGAGGGAAAGATTCAATACACTTTCTAGCATGGTCTTAAGAAGAGAGTCATATTCCTTGAGTTTCGGACTGCTGAAGGCTGGGGAGCATCTCAGAAAGTAGGTAAGTTTTGGGATTGACAGGCACCTGGTGAGTAGGTAGAAGGCATCATGTGTATCGATGTCTTTCATCCTGCCTTCCATCGTTTTGAGGTCTTAGGACATTTTTTCTAGGATCAGATCGATGGCATTGGACCCAAGAGCACCAAAGAGAGTGCTGTTGGCTGGATCAATGGCTCGTGCTCCTGGTAAAACAACACTAATATTCTGGATCATCTGTCGATTGGTAGAAACTATTTAACATTTGGTGGAGTTTAAAGATAGGCCCAGCTTTCTCCCATGTCTTTAATTTTTCGGATGTCCTCTAGGAGAGATTCTGTTGTACCAGCTAGGGTACATCATCCAAGAACCAGACATTGATCTCACTTGAGAGTGCTTCTGTGAGTTCCTTGATGACCAAACAGAATAGAAAAGGGGGGAGAGGGTTCCCCTGTTGCACACCCTCGCACTAGTCAATTTCATGGTGCCATAACAATAGTTTAGAAGTCACACTATAACACGATTCTATGAAGGGGTAGAGGGAAGGGAAGAATTTAGAAATTGCTTGGAGTGTAACATCCCTTCTGACTAAGATGAAAACGTTGGCAAAGTCCAATTTGATCAAGGCTTTCTCATCGGACATGTTGTTGATGTATACTCGTGCTGCGTGGGCAGCTGCTTCACAGCCTTGTAGAACACCAAAACCGAGCTGAGTTAGTTTCAACATTGCAGCAGCCTCTTGACTCACCCTTCTTACTGTAGCCTTGGCGACTAGGCGCCGAAGGGTGTTGCCCACTGCAATGGGCCTGATTCCTCCATCC